GAGAAGCGAACAGGGCCAAAGTGTCCTACAACAATGATAATCCCAATTCGCTGCTAAAATACCTAGCCGTTACAAGGAAATAAGTATTAGACGTTTTCTATGATACATCATTGTAGTACCTAATACTTGTATCTTCTAAAATTTTAACCCATACGAGAGCACGAGTTGATGGACTATTTTTCTGAAACATTTTAGCTGCAGAATTGCTAAACCTCAATCGGTTGATTTGGCCTCTCCAATCATCTGATTTTTGGGCCATCTGATCTTACGCGGACGGCTAGCAGGGGCGCGGCCGACGAACAGGCGAGGCACGCGCAGTCAACGAGGGCCGGCGAGGCAGCAGGTGCGCCTAGCCTCATAGCTCGAGGCCCCGACCATGGCAGCAACCGACGGCCGGCTACAAGGAGGCCGACGAGGAGGGCCGCCCCCAGGCCGGATCACCGTTGTTGCTTGTTCTCCGGACTCTATTTGACTCGATGTTATGCTAAATTGCATTCTTTTCTGGAGAAGGTAATACAAACTACTAGTACAGGATGTTTCGCTGAATTCTCGTCCATAAAGAATGGAGTTCTAGCACGATATTAAGTTTTACTTACTATATATAAAAACATCAATATTTATAGTACCAAATAAATATCACTAGATTTGCTATGAAATATATTTTTATAGTATATTTATTTAGCATCATAAATGTTATTATTTTTACCTAAATATTCGTTAAATGTTAGATATTTTCTTGATCCATGTAGTAGATTATAGATAGGTTCACATCCTGCCTCTGGGGCTACCTTCATAAGCATACTCAGTTAATCTGTACTTCTTCGCTAATTATTATACACGTAACTGGAAGTTGAAGCTTGTAGTTTGGACAACTGTACAACTGCATCAATCAGCTACGGTGGTATACGAGCACTTACACGACTAGAGTAGTGCGCTGTGCATCCTTTATTGCACGACTGTACGTGGATGTGCTTCAAGCCTCTTCATCAAGGAGACACAAAAAAAAAATGGCAAAAAGGTATGGATTACATCAACGCTCAAGCGTCTACCATTCTAGACCAAATTGAAACCAGTGCAACAGATACCAGATCACGTCCTATCAAAAAAAAAAAACCGGATCACGTATTATCAAACAAATTTCTGGTGTGTATGTAAGCACACAACAAATCATTAATTTGACATCGTGCAGCCTTTTTATTTATTTAAGAAAAGAAAAAACTAAAAGGTTTAAGCTATCAAATGAACAGAACAGTAGAGTAGGCAAACATTTATCTGTCCGTTTCAGCAGCATTATCAAAATTCAGACAAATCCATGTTACTCCTGCACTTAGGCCTTGTTTAGTTGGCCGAATTCAGCGACGCCGGATTCACTGCGCGACACTGTAGCGCACTGTAGCATTTCGTTTGTATTTGGTAATAATTGTCCCATCGTTGACTAATTAGGCTTAAAACGTTCGTCTCGCAAAATACAACCTAACTGTGCAATTAGTTTTTTTTATTTCGTCTATATTTAGTACTCCATGCATGTACCACAAGTTTAATGTGACGAAAAATCTTCTTTTTTATAGTGCCAAAGTTGGAGTTGAGAGCAACTAAACAAGGCCTTACTACTTGTTGCCCTGGGCCCCAGTAATAAACTACCGCTTCAAAGCAGCAGCAGGCCAGCAGCTGACGCCCTGACCACCACAGGTGTTGGTTGTCATTACGAACCCCTGCACCCGCACGTAGCTCGATGTCCGCAGCAGGCCAAGATGCCATGCCGAGGCCGCGCGGGCAGGCCTATGATCCGGCCATGCCTAGCTTTGCCTCGCCGCGCCATTCTCTATGGCGCGTCACTGCCGCGCCAAGATCGGTGGCGCGGCAGATCCTACCACGTCACCGGTCAGCGTCCTCGGTCTTTGCCACGTCATCCTCCCGCCGTGCCACCGTGCATGGCGCGGCACAGGCGTTTCGCCACGCCATGACAATAGACGTGGCCAAAAGTGTTAGATTTGGAAGAAAAATAGATTTAAAATTAGTTTACAAAAATTGTTAAAAATAAAAAAAATAGTAGCTGCTACCGCCGGGTTGTTGCCGACTACACAAATGCGTCTGTCCGTACGCGGGTTCGGTTGGCTGGTTCGTTTCGTTGCTAGTTCGTGAAAAAATACTGCTGACTAGTTTATGTGAGAGAGAAATAGTATTTCGACTAAAAATTTACGATCGTTTACGACTGGCCACATGCAAACGAGTATGCTGTCGCAGTCCCTGGCCTGGCCCGTGCCTGTCCGCTTCCCAGCATGGCGCCGGTGCGCTAGTGTCTCCTCTCTCTTGAAGAATTTGTGGTTTGTGGATTGTGGATTGTGTACTGAAAATTTTTAAATGGACAAAGTGTTTTTTTTGAGAGTCTAAATCCTAAAGCGCTTGATGTATGCACGAATTTCTGACAATACGAGAGCTTTTTTTTAATTCCACAATGTTAGTTAATAATAGGTTATGCTTGTCACGTACTTTCCTGTGATGTATTTTGCATTAGTTATCTTTGTTTGTTTATAAAACTGCATTGGTCCAATAAATAGTCATTTTGGGCCTTGGTCGTAAAACCATAAAAATAAAGAGTCATTAAGGATGATCGGTAGTGCTGGCTACAACACCACCTGCAGTGGCGGAGCTCGCAACAAAATAAAGGGTGGATCATTTTGCTAATATGAATTAACATGTACATAAATTGTAAATTCGGAAGCAAAGAACAAAATTGCTACAAAACAAGCACACAAACAATTTTGAATCTTCCTCCCTGTAGAGTGTAGACCGTGAGTGATCAAAGATCGCCACTCACCAAGATGCATCGGATAGAGGATTTGAGACTGGAGAACATGGTAACTGGAGAGTCCCAAGACAGGAAGCCAGTGAAATGGCCCCGTTCGCTGATGTAAAACTTGGCTGAAAAATATTGTTTCGATTGATTTGTTATGAGAGAAAAACATTATTCAGCTAGTTTGGTAAACAGTAAATTATGAGGGGAAGCAGCCAGCTGGCTGGTCCAGACCAGACCACACCAGCGAACGGCCCCGTTAACATCGACAGTCGAAGCACACGGCTTTGGACTCCCGGACGGCGGACGACGTGACGAGCGGCTTCGGACTCTAGACGGCGGACGACGCGACGAGTGAACTGGAGGTGGAGTGACGGTGAATCGACGATTGCTTGCCATGGTGGACGATTGGATGTTACTGCAGTTCCTTAATCGGAAGGCTAGGAGTCAAGACACAAGCAGACTTGCAGTTTTTGGCTCTCAAAATCTTGTTTTACATAAGCCATTAACTGATGAATCACCGAATGACTATTTTTTTTTTCTGAATCAAGGGGGGCCCACAGCCCACTTTAGCCGACATGTAGCTCCTCCTGTGATCACCTCCCACTCACCCAAGACAGACGGTGGGTCCCAAATTACGAGTCTCATTTTCAACGATGAGTACCTTATTCGTGTGCACATATTATGGGTGACACGATAGATATAGCAACATGGAATTTCTTGTTGTAGAATATGGTCCCTCATCCTTGTTCTTGGGAAGAGAAAAAAATTCTTTGTTCCAGCTCATGCTAAGCCTCATGAGGAAGTGGAAGCTTTTCTTCACATTTTTATATTAGGGAATTAATCCCTGTGGGGATTCCCATCCCCTCAAGACATGAAGGGGATGTCATTTCTACGGTTTAGATTCGCATGAAGAGATGAAATGACATCATCCCCATCCCCTGATAGAGAAATTCAGGGATCAGGGCTTATTAACGTCTCTACGTAGGAGACATCTCCATTTTCACATGGGGGTCTTAATAACCATCAAATTGAATGAGAATAATTCAATCTCCTCTCAATGAAACAAGGTGCGCTTCAAGCCCTATACATGATTCAATCAAATTTATCTTTACATATTACCATATCTCTACCGTCAATATTTTCCACAAAAAACTACTAAACTCAATCACTTGCTGTCATTACTTGATAGTTTTAAGGCCTACCCCGCAGAGGTATCAAATTGGATCAGTGATCGTGCCCCTTTGCGTGCATAACTTGCCTAACAAGTTTGTTTAGCAAGCTTTTTTTTTTGTCGAATGTGCACAACAATTCAAATTCGCCTAGACCTATTTTTTCTTCACTGGAGATCTTTCTACAGCTCGAGTTTTTTTTCCAGGGGAACTAGCGGTACAGCTAGGAGCGTCCACGCGGATTCCACGTCATAAAAAAGGGGGCCGAATATGGAAATATTTCATTTAGTACCAAGTTAAGGAAAGAGTTACCAATTGCTGGGCCGGCCCAACGGCGGGCCCAACACTCGAATCAAGAAAGAAACGCCTCACCCGGGCCCGACAGCACGCATTCCGACCGGGGGGACGCGACCGAGGCGGCGAAACGCAGTAATGGCTCCTCCCGCCAATTCCACCAGCGCGGCTTCGCACTCACTCATTTCAAATTCCTTTTCCCCCAATTTTTTTTTATTATCCCTCCCCATCCGCGCTTCTCTCTCTCTCTCTCTCTCTCTCTCGTGCCGCCCTGCCAGTGGACACCCATCTCCGGCCCCGCATCCCCTTCTTGCCTCCCCCACGAATCCCCCGCCCCGCGCCGCGGCCGCAAGGTGACAAGGGATCCGAATCGACCGCGGGGCGACAAGGGGTCGCGGCGAGAGATCTCTCTCTCTGCCCCCGCACTCGCTCGCTCGGCCGCTGGCGATGCTGAGGACCAAGACCCCACGGTCGCGCGGCGGCAAGGCGGGCCGCGCACCCGGGGCCTTCTCGGCGGTCAAGCCCGCCAAGCCGAGGGGCGGTCGCCGTCCGGGGAGCTCTCGCTGCAGCTGGAGCACGTCTCCCTCATCTCCTTCCTCTCCGACCGCCGCCCCGCCGCCTCCGCCGGCGGCCTCACGCCCTTCGAGGGGCTCCTAGAGGAGGAGGATGGAGATGGGGAGGGCTTGGGCTGCTACCGCGCCGACCCGACCCCGCCGCCGCCGCTTCTCCAGCCGCAGTCTATGCCCCCGCCCCCGCCGCCGGCGCCGGCACAGGTCCTGCAGCCATCGCCGATGGACGCGGACGAGACCATGGAGGAGAAGGATTGCTGCATCCTCAGCCAGGATTTCTTCTGGTACGTTCCGGACTGAGCCTCTGTGTTGATTTGCTGAGTGACACCGTCTGGTCTCAGATTAACCCCGTTTCTCTTCCCTCTGTTTGCAGCACCCCAGACTACATCACGCCAGAGATGCCGCAGGTTGCCAACGAGTTCGACGACGATAAGGTGAGGAAGATGAGATTTTTCTCTTTTGAGTGTGGGTATATCATATATGTCATTTGAGTGATAGGGTGCTGTGTTGAGCTCCACTTTCCATAAGGCCCTAACAGTTTTTTCTGGTTTTGTGCAGGAGAACATCCCCTGCCCCAAATCTCCAGAGAAGTCAGCGAACCCTCGGAGCAAGCGGTACAGAACCGGTGAGTGAGAATTTCACTCCTCAAACCGATTACCGATTGATCGGAATGTGAAACTGTTTCTGCCACAATATCCAATGGTCCAACTGTAATTAGTAACTGTTGTAAACTCAATCTACTCAGTGATCAACTGTGTTGCTCCGTTTCCTTTCTCCCTCTTAAGTGGGTGAGTGGCTGAATGCTGCTAATATTTGCAGATTGTTCTCCCAAAGGTCTGGAATCCACGGACTTTTCTTTCGACCATCAGATTACTCCGGTTCCGTTTGACAGTCTCACTCGAGATGATTCAGAAGAAGAGCAGCCGATGCAGCCTGCCCTGGAAAAGAGGGGTGGTTATGTCTCCCAGTCAGCAGTGGCTCTGCGCTGCCGGGTGATGCCTCCACCATGTGTCAAGAACCTGTACCTCAATACTGACCCATGCATAGATGATGCTGTTTACGGTGGGTGGCAATGCAACTCAGCAGGTATCATTATTGCATTTTCTGCTATCAGTAATTCAAAAAGTATGTACATTTCCCTGTTATGCATCTGTGTCACTTTTACATCTAATATGTAACTATAACATGCCTTTTCAGCCTCAGCGTAGTAAAAATTATCAATATCTGTGTCTATATAATGAACGTTCAGACAGAGCTAATTAGTTTCTTCTGTAATGTATAAAGGGTTTTCTCCTTCAATTGGTGGTAATGGTCTTTCACGCTACCGAACTGATTTCCACGAAATAGAGGTATGCTATGAATATATATTACTCCATGTTGCAGCAATCCAATGTGATTGATCGTTTTATTCACTGATAGTGGCATTCTTAATTCCCAGAAAATTGGTTCTGGCAACTTCAGTGTTGTGTTCAAAGTTCTGAACAGGATAGACGGGTGCTTGTATGCTGTTAAACGGAGTATCAAGCAATTGCATAATGATATGGAAAGGTAGTCCCATAGTGGCACTGTGTTTTACCAGGAACAGGATTGTCCATCAACTGATATTGCATGTTGTATCTTCTGTTGCAGGAGGCAAGCAGTGAAAGAAGTCCAAGCTATGGCAGCCTTAGGTCACACACTAAACTTTTGGTTCTTCATTTTCAGCTGCATTTGCTAGGACGGTTATAACATCTGTACCATGTCTTTCCAGGTTCTCATGAGAACATAGTTCGATATTTCACCTCTTGGTTTGAGAATGAGCAACTTTACATTCAGATGGAACTCTGTGATCGCTGTCTGTCTATGAATCGGAACCAGCCACTGAAGCGCGGGGAAGCCGTGGAACTGTTGCATCAGGTTTGGGACTTGTTGTTTACCAATTTTATTCCTTTTGGTCGCTGAGCCTGAGCTCATAGGATAAGAGAACTAAGCCTTACCATTTTTGCTTTTTTCCTTAATAACTTTCTTGAAGGGCGGGCCTGGTGCAAGCGGTAGAGTCTTACCGCCTGTGACAGGAAAGTCCCGGGTTCGAGTCGCGGTCTCCTCGCATTGCACAGGCGAGGGTAAGGCTTGCAACTAACACCCTTCCCTAGACCCCGCACAGAGCGGGAGCTCTCTGCACTGGGTACGCCCTTTTTTTTTCCTTAATAACTTTCTTGAAATGTGGAACTACTCATTGAGGACGTTTCACATCTTAGCTTCTATATATGCAAATTAACTCATTTTATTCTGATCATTTGGTTCAGAAGGAATATCTTCTGGGAACTAATTATGTGGGTTAGAAGACTGTTGTAATAAAATTGCAATTGGAGAAAATCACATTTCTATGTCCTAGTTTGAATCGAAGAGATATTGGATTGATTGATTTGTACTTTGATGCTATAGTTAGGTCTACCAGTCCAGCTTGTTGACAAAATATGAAGTCAAATACTGAAATCAATATAACATGCTAAGAGATATAGGATACATCCAAATATGTTTTACTTGTGCATGCTTTAGAATTGAAGAGATCCATTTTTTAAGTTGTTTATATCAAGTGAGGAAATATGTAAACCTAAGTTCTGTTAGGCATGCACTAGTGATGTTTCTTTTTAGCCCCTCAGAGGTTCATTCAGCGTCATTCCTTTTAATAATTATATATAATAATATGGTTCACTTCACCAGAAAGCATTTTCCTCTTGTTTTTCATGTTTATCTTTGTTAAAATACTAATAGTAAACTTTGCGATTCTGAAGATCTGCAAAGGCTTGGATTTCATGCATGAACGTGGCATAGCACACCTTGACGTGAAGCCTGATAACATATATGTCAGAAATGGTATTTATAAGCTCGGAGATTTTGGTTGTGCTACACTTATTAACCGGAGTTTGGCAATTGAAGATGGAGATTCACGTTATATGCCTCCGGAAATGCTGAATGATAAGTATGAGCATCTTGACAAGGTTGATATCTTTTCCCTTGGGGCAGCTGTCTATGAGCTTATAAGAGGCACCCCGCTTCCTGAGTCTGGGCCTCACTTTAGAAGCATTAGAGAGGGTAAGATCGCATTACTTCCAGGGTGCCCAATGCAGTTTCAAAGTTTAATTAAGGTATAACATCTCATTCCTACCCAGTTGCTTACTTTGTTTGTCCTTTATTTCATAATATGCAGGATGAAGATAAAATGCTACTATTTATGCATAATTTTCTTAGGAACAAAAATTCCATCCTAACAAATGAAGTATTACCTACCTCATACCTGTCTTCTAGTTCTAAAACAATTCTCATGGCTCATTAGTGTATAATAAATACAACATGATGTTGGAACTGGTACTTTTGATTCTTTTGTTGAAAGTCTACTGTGATCAAACATATGGCGCACACACTGGCAACTCCCTGCTCCTGGGTGATAGATGTAGGATCTCTTTTTGGTGGTTCCCTTTTTAACAAGTTTTAGCAAGGTACTAAATAGCGTTCGTAGCGTCCGCTATAGCGGCCGCAATAGCAGTAGCGGCCCCTTCCGCTACCGCTATGATGTAGCGTCTTGGATATAGCATGTTGGAACTTAGCGTCCGCTATTTGATGCAGCAAGCCTCTATAGCGGCCATTATTTGACGTAGCAGTCCGCTATAGCGGCCCAAGTCTAGAATATAACTAATTCATTCTTAATTTAAGATATATTTGATCGAGAATCAGCTATTCGAATACAATTAAATATCTATTTACATTTTTTAAGTTATATGTTTGTTAGTCTATCATTAATTTGTATTTAGTTGATTTGTTAATGTGTAAGAAAGATATTTTTTAAGATATACATATACCTAAATTATATTAGATTATCGGACTATGCTATTGGAACTTAGCGTCCGCTATCCGCAATCAGCAGCGTAGAGGTCGATCCGCTACAGACCCGCTATCCACTGTTTGTTACCTTGAATTTTAGTAGTTTGTTCTATGCCTGAGTCAGCCATTGGCTACTTGATACTTGATATTAAATTTGCTTTTCTACATACCTATTTGGTTGCTTAAAGTTGGAGCTATTGTCTCTGATTCGGTTTGCTTATTTACAACTTTGGAGGATTTTGTATGCTCCCACAATGTGAACTTAGCTAACTCCGACATCGTGCATACATACCATTGCACAGAAACATTTCTCTGTAGCATGTAGCATGTAGCATGTAACATGTGAAAAATAGCCTTAAACATTCTGTCACTATCCATTTTCAGTCTATGATGGATCATGATCCGGTGAGGCGGCCTTCAGCAAAGGAGATCCTGAGACACCCCTCCTTCGACAAGCTCCACAAGGCCCCAGCAAAGAAGTAGAAATGCCGTGCCCCATCAGATCAGAGCTGCTGGCAGGGAATTGTGCAGCTGTGACAGTGTGACACCTTCACCATCAGCTGCTCCCAATTTTGTATATCTATCTACAATATGCGTGTGCCAGTGTGCCCTGATCAGATATTGTAAAAAATTATAAAAAATGAAGCAGGGATCTGATTTTAACGCCAAGAACTCGAGCACGAGCAGCGTCTGTAAAGACTATGGCTGCTTTTGCGTTAAGGTTGCCTCTCTTTGATTTCTTATGCTCTTTCGCCGTGGCTGTGCTTGGAACTTGGAAGGATGAACTGAACCGTGTGTTTTTAGTTCTTGACTTTCTTGCACGCATAGCTAATGCTCATCCCATTTTTCATTGTGTTCTCAATTGCATCTGGGATTCTGGGCAGTGAATGTTGAACTTAATTTTTTTCCCCAGTTAAACTTCGATTGTCAATAGCCATCAAAACATTCAGTTTATAGAAACATATGTTTTGCCTTCAAAAGTACTTTTTATAATCTCATACGTATTTATCAAATATTATGATTATATAACTAAAGAAAATGATGGTTAGCTTTTGACCGGAAGAAGCTTTGAATGCGATTTTGCCTCACGTGTCGACCGGGTTCCCATTTTCCTGGCGGCGGCGATGGCAACGGTCCAGCCCACTTTTGCCGCTTTGCTGTGCGTGGGCCGTGCGACTCGACGGAGACGGAAGCGACGCGCGGCGAGTTGAAACGACGGTGAGCGCGAGGAATTATCCGCCAACCGCGCTGCCGTCGGCCCGTCGCCGTTGAGGCGCTATGGCCCATTGGCCCTGGCCCTCGTCGACGGAGTCCGCAGGCGCTTCCGCCTCCACCTCCGGGGTGCCCGTGCGCTCGCGGGCGGCGGCGCCGCGTGACCCCACGGGGTCTAGGATCCGGGTCTCCAAGCTGCGCGAGATGGCGCTGCCGCCACAGGATGCTCAGCCCAACAAGGTCAGTCCTGTTCCTATCACGACGATGTCAATTCAATTCCAACAACCCCGCGTGTCCCATCCCATCCCATCCCATTGATGGAGTCCTCTGCTCCTTCCGGGACGCTCGGTTTGGCAGGTGAACCTGGCATCTAGATTGGGGTTGAAGGTTGATTTCATCCGGCCCTTTTCTGATCTTTGACTGCTTCGTGTCCGTGCAATATTTCCTCGGTGGGCTGGTGCAGTGCAGTGTTACCAAAATTTCTTCACTGGTAAAGTGAACTACTAGTACTAGTATACAGTACGTGCCTTTTGGTTAGCTGACGAGCGAGGCATGACTAACAGGAGCGCTTCTTCAACCTACTTTGGCTGGATGCGCTGAATTTTGTTGTTGTGATCTCCTCTCGTTCTCACCGCGATCCTGCACCCGCAGCCCTCCTGTCCAAGATTTCCCTCTAATAATTCACCTCAAGTGGAATTCGTGATGCTTATTCCGGCCTGCCTACCGCGGCGGTGCTACTCACTCGTTAGGTGGCTTCTGGTGTGGGTGTTCTGAAAAAAAATACGACTTTTGCCCACGCCCCCCACACTCTGCTCGTGCTGTCCATTTGCTTGAATATATTCTTTTCATTGTCATGTGTGCCGTGGGAATTGCTCCATTCAAGTGCCAGCTCTGATAAGTGTTCGTTTCTGACCATGCAACCTCTCATCCGGATTGGATTGGTTTCGGCTGTTGCTTGCTCCAGGAAGGTGCGTTTTCTCCCATCCTTTTGTGGAACTCGTGCCCTCTTATCATCAAGTCAACCTTTAATTCATGCTTTATTATAACCCCCTCCGTACTAGTTTCAGTCTGACTTTTGCTTGGATTGTCCTGCGATAGCGCAGGTGTCCTTGTCCTTCTGATGTTGTTGGCTAATTCCACCGGTAAGATGGCTTGCCTTGCACCAAGGAGCCAGTTCTTTTTTAATATTGATATAAGTTTGACTTTTTGTGGAGACTGCATTTTCTATTTAGGCTGGGGCAGGATGTTAATAAGAGAAACGTTATAGCTAATGGCCTTATGTTGTTTTTCTCACTTCTTTATTTTCCTGGTGGATCCATGAGCATCCTGTAGGCCTTCTTTTAAAGAAGGTACTATGGTTCAGCTAGTTTCCTGGAAAAGCCTTCGCAATTTTGCGTGGCCTTTGTCTGGTCACATGTCAGTTTTACCGTGTATTGCTCCTTTTGCTGTATGATTACTTGGTCGGTGCAGTTCAATCTCCTATTACATGTATGTTTTCTTTCACTGCAGGCCCTCTTCATTTGAGACTCATTTGTTACTGAGTTCGTTCTAGATTCGGTACTTGTTCATTGTTCTTGCTCTCATTCTAGTTTGATTGATTCAACCTTTTTAGACTGGTATCTCCTGTAAGAGTTCCATTTCTCTATGTTCTCCTTCTAGTTTAGCACCTGTTGAGTTGTTCCTTTTGATGTCTATTGTCTATCCCTTATGCTCAAAATGTTCTCTTTTGTGCTGCGGGGTGTTGCATAATGAGCAGTCATGCCATGCTTTTCACAACATTCAAGCCATCTAGCTAAACAGATTGAGCATGGCTGAGGCCTGATCCACGCTAGCTCAAGTGATTATTGGAGAAAGCATTCTACCTCATCGAAAGAAAAATAGTTCTCAAAGTCCCATTACATTGGGAACTGAATAGTATCATCACCAGGGCATTTGGTGCACCATCCACAGGTGCTGCTGCAACAGATCAGACGCTACTTGCCAGCAAGGTCAAAGAGTGGTGAATCTGTGCTGCAACCTGAACACGTGACGATTGCTTAGTTGGTTGTTGGGATTTGGTTTCATCATCACGATTAGAGACAATGCTGCTGTGTTGTTTCCTTATCAAAGTAGTTTGAATTTTCATAATAGTGACTAGTGAGGAGCTATAGAGCATTCAGACAATATTTGGATGTAATGAGGAAGGAGCAATAAATTGAATAAGCTGTCTGCATACTTTCTTGTTGCTGGGGAAGAGGATAGGGAAGAGAATGCATTCCTTCGGTTACTTTGCGTTGGACCAAAAATAAATTGCAGCCCTTAGTTCATGATGAAAATATAAGATTAATGGAAAGGTTAAGCGTTTCATTTTTACTGGACTACTGGAGGAAGTTGCCAGGGAGTCCAAGTAATTAAAAAATAAGTATTGGGCTTAGCTAAACTGAACTATGTAGATTTTTTGGGTTTAAATATTTGGAAATACTAATTTACTGGTATTTTTGGCATATTGAAATTTACTGTAAAATGAATAAATAATTTTGAAATTTGGATAGTTTCTTTTTCTTTACACTTTTCTAATTTTAGGCTGAGAAAACCACATACATCCATAAACTTTACTCATGTGTCACAACTCAGATTTTAAAAAATTATTTGGGATTAACCCAAGAACCTTTTTTTAAAGTCTGTAATGTGCCACCATTTCTTGACCCAGGTAATGCCCTTCATATACTATGCACTTTTTGATTGTTGGTGGTTTTGCTGCACTACAGGCGCCATCGGCCATTCTGATCATTTGACATTGATTTAGTGGACTTTGTAGCACCTAGGCAATTCTTATAAATTTAGAATACAATACTACATTACTACTAAAATTTTAGCATCTTGTAATGTTATAAGCACCACCATAACACCAAATGAAATTATGAATGTGAATCGATGCCATGTGGTCTCTACCTACAACAAGAACAATACCAAATTCCATTGGTGTCAAACTGGATTTTAGCAAAAAGCATCAAGGGTATTTCTGAAGTATGTAATTTATTTTGCCAACAGTCTAAAAAATATTTGGATTTTTATGCATTTTCCTCTGGATTTGTGGATCTTGGATCCGTTCCCTTTTGTCACATGTATTCTTCATTTTTTCCATATCAAGGGTGAAAGTCACGTTTAAATGGTGATGCATCAGATAGGGTGTGGATAGCTGGAACCCCATTGATCTCTTCATTGCAAATTAATATATACCCCTATTTTTTGGACAGCTTTACCCCTCTCTTCTTTTTATTCCCTTTTCACTTTCCCCTTCCTCTGCCCACTCTCTCAATCCCTAGCGCCTCTTCGTAGTTCGTTGATACTCTTTGTGCCCCCGATCCCTTAACCCCACATGTCCCTGTTCACTCTCTGTATCAATTGTTTTGCTTGCTGTGGCATCAGACAATACCTTTCTGGGCTTGGTGCGCGGACTTCCACTGGATCCCAATCAGCTTATCGCCTCGACTTTGGTGCGAACTAACTCGTTTCCGCTTAAGTATGCGATGTGAAGTAATCTTATTATGTAATTCAATTTATTCCGTATATAGTTCAAATCTGGTATCCGCTCATAATTGTATATCTCGATCTAGTTAGTTCTAAGTTACACTGCTTTCTTCAATCTAGCTGTACGGTGCTGATGTTTCCTATGTGGCCTTGGGTTTTGCATCAACTTTTAAATGTCATCTTTCATTTTCCTTCCTTTTTTGCACCTTGATTATGCAGTATGCAGGCCACATGCTTACTTTTCTTTTCTTTTCTTACAGAAGCCATGCTGTGTGTACTGATAATTTTGTAAAATATGTACCATCTGCTGTGAATGTTTTTTCTTCAGCTTTTATGATCCAGTAGTTGGCAGAGGTTTTTCACTGTATTTTTTCTTCATCATGGCATTCCTTGTAATTGTTAAATGCTTTTATATCTTCTTCTCCTAGTTGATTTGTTTCTTTATTACTAGATTCATCACTTAGTAGTTCCTTAGGTACAACAGTTTGTTGTTACATGAGATATATCAGTAGTTCTATTTCTATGCTATGCCTCTCAAATTCACGAGCTTGCTTGTCATTGGTCCTTTGAAATATCCTTGACCTCACTTGAATTACTTCCTCATGTATGTTGTATATATACTTTTTTGTGCCACTAAGGTTTGTGCGATTCAGCAGATTCTTGTTTTGTCCTGTATAGTTATTTCTTCAGCCTAGTATGCTCTCTTTATATGTTTTCAACTTATTTGCAAATTCATATTTTGGACATAAAAAGCTAGTGCATATTCTGATCTTTATAGAACACTGGACATGGATTTCTTCACGGAATATGGGGAGGCGAGTCAGTATCATATCCAAGAGGTTATTGGCAAGGGAAGTTATGGAGTAGTTGCTGCTGCAATTGATAGTCACACTGGGGAGCGGGTTGCGATCAAGAAGATAAATGATATTTTTGAGAATGTCTCGGATGCTTCTCGCATTTTGCGGGAAATCAAGCTTCTTCGGCTGCTTCGTCACTCAAACATAGTCCAGATTAAACACATTATGCTGCCCCCTACCCGAAGGGAGTTCAAAGATATCTATGTTGTCTTTGAGCTCATGGAGTCTGATCTGCATCAAGTGATCAAAGCAAATGATAACCTGACTCCAGAGCATCACCGCTTTTTCCTGTATCAACTTCTTTGTGCTCTCAAGTACATGCATTCAGGTTTGTTAGGAACATATTAAATAATTCACCTCATCATCAACAGTCACCCCTATCGTTCTGATATATGTGATCTACATCACTGCAGCCCATGTATTTCATCGTGACTTAAAGCCTAGGAACATACTGGCCAATTCAGACAGCAAATTAAAGATTTGTGACTTTGGACTTGCACGTGCATCATTTAACGACTCTCTTTCAGCTATCTATTGGACAGTAAGATCCTTTTCATCAATTTTGTATTCATTCTTTTTTTGCCCCTTATTTCATTAACTGTTGCGCCTTGCAACTTGAAGGATTATGTCGCAACAAGGTGGTACAGGGCTCCTGAATTATGTGGCTCCTTTTTCTCCAGTGTAAGTTGGTTTTTAGCTTTTGATCTTACTGGAATCCTTATGGTGGACAAATATGTGGCATGGATCATGTAGTTAAACTTTTAACATTACAGTGATACACCTTTCTGGATATTTCTTGTTACATCGTTTAATGATTGCTGTTCTGTACCAAAGTGAAAATCTTTCTAAGAAATGCTGAAGCTCCGTTGCACTGGACACTATTAATTTATTATTCTGCAAAGTTCTTGTTAACATCTTCCTATTTTATCATCTTCACTAACACTATTGAATTTATATGTACAGTACACCCCTGCAATTGATATTTGGAGTATAGGGTGCATTTTTGCTGAAGTTCTCACTGGAACACCATTGTTTCCTGGTAGGAATGTTGTGCACCAATTAGACTTAATAACAGATCTCCTTGGAACACCATCATTTAGATCCTTATCCAAGGTATGCCAACATATGTATGCATAACTTTAACTAACTGTTTCTGTCACCTACCTTGTAGTTTTCTTTTAGAACATATTTTGTTTATTTATAATGAAGTGGCATAAATAAACGTGATCTCAGACAGTAAAGAGACAAAAATCGATTCTTTGTAGATGCTCTCTATATATTAGTGTGTTGCACACCTATTTGTTCATCAAACTTTGATTAAACTCGGTGTGCCATCGCATTAAGGAAAGCTGTTTGTGTGTGAATGGGTTCTCTTATTGTGGGAGATGTTCTGTGTTTTAATCAAACCAGTTAGTTAAAGTTAACACCCATAATGAAGTGGCATAATAAACGCGATCAAGATGTGAATATGATCTGGTTGGATCTCTTAAAAATCAGTTAGTTTTCCTACATGATTATGGGCGTTCTTAGTTTTGTACCGAAGCTAGCAAATCCAAATTTTGGCTACTTTGATCAATTTTGGCCACCATTTGGTTGGATGCTAAAATTTGGCTTGGCACCCTCTTCTTTTGGCACCTTAGTTCATTTTTGTGGCCAAAGTTGACCAAATCCATGGCCACCAAAATTTGGCTTGGTTAGAAGATGCCATAAACCAGAAACACCCTACATCCATGTGATTTTTTTTTTTTTGAGCGAGAATACAGCAGGGGAAGCCCCCACTGTAAGATTTTTTTATTAAAAAAAGAGAGGAAAAAAGAACAAGCCGGTACAACTATACAACAGACACCAAAACAGAAAGAGCAACAGGTCTAAGGATGACGGAAGAAGAAGAAACTAAGCTAGGGAGTCTATACAAAGAGAGAAAGCCGGTTGTTTAGCATCACTGAATCTCAAAGCTTGCAGTTTAGCTTCCTCCATGAATAGCCTCTTCCAAGAACTAAAGGAGGGACGTCCTCTATCAAAGATGAAGTCATTTCTTTGCTTCCAAATTTGCCAGGCTGCGATGGTGAAGATCTCCATGAAAAAAGGGCTCTGAAAATGCTGCTTTGCCTGTAATAGCATCTGAAAGAATTCATTTGCATAGTTCGACTGGATACCCAAATACTGCCAACACTCTTTACTGAAAGGGCAACTAAAGAACAAATGAAAAGCAGTTTCTTCTACATTATTAGTGCAAAGAACACAGTTGTAGTTGTTCCCTTCCAACTTATGTTTTTTCCTCTTTAGAATGTTTCTTGTGTTCAACCTATCCATGAATAGAAGCCATGAGAAAACTCTCAGCTTATTGCAACACTTGGAATCCCAAAATCCAAACAAAAGGGGCTGGGGGCTGAATGTTTTTGTAAGGAAAATTGTTGAAACTAGACGATGTATAGATGTTGCTTCCCCAGATATATCGCCAAGAATCTTTTGAGTCCTGCTGTACTTGGATTGTTTGAATGTATTCTTGAAGGCTTTGAAATTCCTGATAGGCTTGCTCAGAGAGGGGGAGATGAAACTGAGACTCCAGGCTGTTATTTAGCAAGAACTGCGAAACTGAAATCCTCTTGTGTCTGGTGAAAGAGTAAAGCCTAGGGAACTTAACTTGCATAACATTGTCATTCCAGAGATCAGACCAAAAAAGGACAGTGGAGCCATCTCCAATCCTTCAATTAGCAATACCTCTGAAGAGATCACACAATTTTAGAATATCCCTCCACCAAAATGACCCCTTGTCAGTTGTTGCATGGGGGATTTCACCATCGGAATAATGAGCAAACCAAACTAGTTTCACCCAGGGGATTTCCTTTTTGTTATAAAACTTGATTCTGCTTTCTACTGGTATTTTGTATTAGGACATCAGTATTCAGATGATGATCTCCATATTTTCTGTAACATCCAGATTCGCAGTGATAAGGCCAGGGAATATTTGCTTGCCATGCCGAGGAAGCGCCCTATTCCTTTTTCTCATAAGTTCCATAATGCTGATCCTCTGGCTCTCTGCTTGCTGGAGCATTTACTTGCGTTTGATCCTAAAGATCGACCTACTGCTGAAGAGGTATACTCTTTGGGGCAAAACATGTTATTCCTCATGAGTGCACCTGCATAAAGTTTATATCTTTGTAATCTCGTCCAGGCTTTAGCTGATCCATATTTTAGTGGGCTTTGTAAATTGGAACTTGAGCCTTCAGCACAACCAATTTCAAAGGTTGACTTTGAATTTGAGGGAAGAAAACTAACAAAGGCGGGTGTAAGAGAAATGATATATCGGGAGGTATGTAACCATTTTCGTTCTGGGTGGAACATATGTTACTCAGTCAGTATTGGATTTCTGATCTTCTCAGTGCAAACAGATTTTGGAGTACCATCCACAGATGCTTCAGGAGTACATCGAAGGTGGAGAGCAGATTCACTTCCTATATCCAAGGTGCAGATTTGCACTATTTGATTTCTCCTATTTAATTCAGTGCAGAAGTACATCTACCATAGGCATCTGTACTCTTTATGCCTTGTTGCTCAGTGCTATCCATGGGTAATGAGTTTCGATGTATTGGGCGTTTCCGTTTAGAAATAGAAGCTTTTTCGTGCTTGCTTGCCAGCATTGGAATGGCCTGAATGGAATGAATATTAAGATAAATAAAAGATTCCAAGAAAATTGAGAAAGTTATTCATTCTTATATTAATTTCCTATACTTGACCGCAGTATCTTTCAATTTCTTTGGTGATTCGATTGAGAACTACAATCTTAGAATTACTTTGTATGTTCTCAATTCTTGTTTCTAAACACTTTTTCTTCAGGCATTGCAACATTTATTAAATATACATCTGGAACGTCTAACACCATCTGTTATAATGCAAGCATTATTTGAGAGCCTGGTGTGTTTCTGAATGAACTTTTTAATCTGTTAGCAATGCCTATTATACAAGTGCTCCCTGTGTTCCAAATTATAAATCGTTCTAGTTTTTCTAAGTACATCACTACATTGTTTTTGCTATATATGCTATGTCTAGATACATAACAAAAAGCTATGTATCTAGAAAAGCGGAACGACTTATAACTTGGAATGGAGGAAGTATGTTTTAGGAGGTTGCTCGGTTGCTGTTTTTAATCTTAGGCAGTGCTTTGTGTTGTGGTTCAATTAACTGTTCTATCATCAGTGCCAGCCCACCAGCAGTAGTATAGGAAATGGTATCACATCAATCATACTAAAACCAAAGCCGTGGAATCGGCATGTAATTGGACCTTCTACTTATTAATGGAATAACACACAACTCTCCTGTGTGTTCAAGAGAAAAGAACAACTCAATTTTGAAGCAGTATGATCTGTATAAGTGTCTCACAGTTTAGTTTCAACTGAAACTATTGGAAGGAGTTAATCTTGCTTAATACCTGAAGCAGTGGTACTTTTTTGTTAATGCTACACCATTGCAGTGGGGTTGATCGCTTCCAGCGACAGTTTGCTCATCTTGAGGAGAACTACAGAAGAGGAGTAACGAGTACCCCGCCGCGAAGGCAACCCACATCTTTGCCAAGGCATATACATGAACCCATCGCGATACTATTAATTGCTGCAGTTACGACTAATAGCTGCAGGGTAGAGTAATCTTTGATTTTTATTTTACTGGCTTATGTGGTTCTGTAATTGTGACAGAGAGAGAGTCTGTTCTTCTGAAGATGGCCATAATCAGGACTCTGACAACGAAGAGCAGAGAGCAGCATCCTATGTTGCCCGAACAACAATAAGCCCCCCAAGATCACAAGAGGAGGGCCGCAAGCTTCAATCCACCGATCAGAGCGCCACAAACACTGCCAACTCCTGCGCCAAGAGCTATCTGAAGAGTGCCCCTAATATCAGTGCTTCCAGGCGTGCCATCAAAGGGAATACTGGCCGAAAGGTACTCTATACCACCAAGCATTATACCTCCACTAAAATTTCGTCTGAATCTTAGGAAGATTATTGTTTCGTTTTACCCGAGAAGCTGACTGTTTCCCTTTCAGGAGAAGGAATCTCCGAGGCTGTGAAAGAGGAGGAGGCGCCGGCCGGTTCATGAACTGTTAGACAAGGTAGCTATAGGGCCTAGGGTTCTCTCCCAGGACAGAACTCAGGAGCAATGGCACCAATGCAACTGCAACTTGAGATGTCTCAGGTATCATGCGTCCAACGATGCAGGAGCCCCCAGGTTCATCTGTCTCTGAGCTGGTAATGTCAGTACAACTATGTAGGTCAATCCTAGGTCGCCCAAGCACCCTGCTTGGAGAAATTAGACTGGTGTAGTGTTAAGTTTTGAGATTCAACTGCTAGATTCTGGCAGATCTGTTAACCCGCACTCTCCTTGGTTTCCCAAAGTTTCCTGATTTGAAGAACTATAATAAATCTCACTGTGTAGCACTGGATTGGATATACTGCTCGTAAAACGTCATGCCGAGGACGATGAACCTTGGAAGTGCCATGACAGCTGCAGGATTTTCAGTTCGGGAAATGGTCAGCTGATGAATGCAACGCATGTACACGTAGGTGAGCCAGTGGGGGCAGGTGAACTGTGTCAGTGTCACAAACAATGCTTGGCCACTGGCACACCAACACGGTCTGCAGGATAGTGTTGGTCAGTAGCACAGCATGACTGCATGAGTGAAGACTGAGCTGAGCTGGGCTGAGACACGGTCAGCTGCTGTCTGTAGTAGCATGGCACAACCGAACAACTACTCCACCAAGTGTAATGTGACGAGAGCCAAGCTTATTTACAGACTATTTCAAAACAAAGTTTAGTTACAGAGAAAAAAAATCACACAGAAGGAGAAGAAACATCGTTACGAACTCACGATAAGATGAAAAACAAAATTTACCCAAATCAAATACAGGAGCAGCCCTTATCTATAGCTATAAACTAAATTAAATGCTACAGCATGAGCTAAGAAAAAAGATGAACGAAACAGTATTTTTTTTACGCTAAAGGCCGGCCATACACCCGCCAGCGCCAGCCAGTCTTGATGATCGGTGCGGCGGCGAGCTGAGCTCCGACCGCACGCGCGCGCGCTGGACGACGAGCACCGCATGCTCAGTTGTGGTTCTGCGACGGGCCGGAAGGCGGGGTGGGAGCGCCGCCGCCGACCGTCGTCGCCCGGCGTGCGCCCGCCGCCGCCGTGGCCACGCTCTCCCTCGCCCGGTGGTGACCGCCGTCGAGCGCTCGCACCCGCGCAACAGTAGCTGCACCACCGTTACTCGTCCCCTCGCGCACCGGCCTGCTAGCGCCGCCGCACGGCGCGCGGAGGAGCACGAGGACGAGGAGGAGCGCGACGACGACGGTCACGGCCCGCTGCGGCGCCGGGACGCGCAGAGACGACGACGAAGCTGCTGCCATGGCGATCGAGCGAGCGAGCGATCGACGATGTGATGGGACGGCCGGGTGGTCGATCGAAGATTCGAAGTAAAGGGTCGGATCGGGGCTGGCGGCTGGCCGAACGTCGCCGGCGATGAGGATGGAGATGGTCGAGATGGATCGATGGACCGGTTCTCGTGTGGCTTGGTTGGCAGAGTGAGAGGGAGCTCGTGGCGTGGCAGTGGTCTCGCGGGTGGCCGGCGAGTAGGCTGCTGCGTGCATGTATATAGACAGACAGACCATGCAGTGTGGAAGTGCACAACCGGCCGTACGTGTCTCGCGCGTCTGTGTGACCGAGCATATGCACGCATTTTGGCCAGCCACTATTGATCCGGTGCGTGCGTGGTTAAAGTAGCATGCATGCACGTAGCAAGCCGTCAGTCAGCCTGTTCGTTTAGCTGTGGCTTGTCGTAAATGATCATAAATTTTTAGTTAAAATAGTATTTTTCTTTCATATAAATCAATCAGTATTACGTCTTCACGAACCAGTAACGATACGAACCAATGAATCTTCATTCACGAAGAAAAACGACAGCAGAGAGGGCTAGCTTCAGGCATTTTGGAGCAAAAATGTCGACTGTCAACTCAACTGAGCAGCCCAAGCTGACAGTTTGGTGGGCCACCCGATCCGATCCGGTCCGTTCACTGCTAAAATGGCAGAGTTCTCTCATAATTTTTTTAATAAATAGTAGTAAAACACTACCATTGGTTATAGCTAGGGATTAAAATAGATTGGATATGAATGGATATCATTTGTCCTATTCGTTTAGCTTATAAGCCGTACTTTTTTCAGTCAACGAATAATATTTTTCTCTCACAACAAATCAGCCAACAGTACTTTCAGCCATGGCTTATCAGCCAAACTAACAGGGCAATTGATATTACATTTGTTTCCATATTTCTGTCCGGATTCGGATTCGAATACCATGCCGGATAGAATACGATTAGATATTGGCGTCATAAATATGCGATTTGAGTATTCGAATACGAATATTGTATCAGATGCTGAATATCTAGACTCAGATACGGACAAATTTAAATCTTTCTAAACGGATTCGGTCTCGAATATGGTTGAAAAATATTCGTATTGTTTTCACCCCTAGTCATACCACATGAAAATTCTCACTACGAGCCACGAGAAGAAATTGAAGATTCTGGTTGTGGGTCCAGCCCGACTGCACGTTTCATTTGGGCTGCTTCAGTGTCTTACCACGGGCCTGAAATACCATGGGCAGGAATTTCACGTGAATCGTTTTTTTTCTTTAAAAAAGGAAACAGTAAAAAAACCACGTTCTAAAGGGCCATAGGCGGGGTGGAACTCGATGCGTTTCACCAAAAAAAAAAGAAGGAAAGATACTGACAGCGGAGACCGGAGAGAAAATATAGGGGACTTGAATGTTGAAATTGGAAGCTATTACAAGCACATTTGCTCGGTATCAAAGTGGCCTCAACTTTGGAAGTTTGCGGTGCACCCCTGCCACTTTGTGCCAGTACTCAGGCCTTGTTGAGTTCCTCTCAATGCAAATGTTTATATTCTATTTCATCGAATATTTAAACATATGTATAGAATATTAAATATAGACTTAAAAAAATAATTAATTGCACATATTGCGACTACTTTGCGAGACGAATATTTTAAGCCTAATTAGTCCATGATTTGATAATATGTGCTACAGTAACACATGTGCTAATGACGGATTAATTAAGCTTAATAAATTCGTCTCGCGGTTTACCGACGGATTCTGTAATTTGTTTTTTTATTAGTATCCGAACACCACATACGACATCCCATACAATACTCGATGTGACACCCCAAAACTTTACACCATAAATTTAAACAAAGCCTCGGAAGCAAGTCTACAACGTTAAGGTAGCTAGGTGAGAGGAGTAAGCAGAGGGGCATCAACCAAGCAAGCCCCAAATGCAAAGCACATCTGCACACCTGGCCAGCAATCTGGAAATAAAGGAGAGAGGACTGGAGGTCGGAGGTCGTCGGAGGAGGAAGGTGACGCCACGCAAAGTTGGATTGGATGACAAGGGAAGCACCACCGGCAGGAGAAAGGAATCCTCAACGAAGGCAAAGCCATGGACGGCCGACGGCCGCACCGGGCGGCACCACCACGGCACCTGCGTGCTGCTGCTGCAACAAGTGAACAAAAACGCAGAAGCCGCGAGCTCAATTCCTCGGCAGCTTCGGCCTTTGGCCATCGTGAGTTTCCTGCAAAAGGGTTCCCGATTTCTGTTGAGTTTCAGTTTAGCGGACATCTGGAACCTAGCAGCCAGCATGAAAATTGGAAAGGGATTCCACTGCATGCAGAAAACAGTAGAGTTGATGCCTGTACAAATCATCTGAAGAAACACGTAGGGGTACATCAGCAGCCTGGTCGGTTGGCTGGTTCGTTTCGTTGCTGGTTTGTGAAGAAGTACTGCTGACTAATTTATGTGAGAAAAAATACTATTTCAACTAAAAATTTACGATCATTTACGATACGAGCCACAGCCGACGAAGAGCAACAGCCAAACAAACAGGCTGCAGATCTACCGCTACACAGTCCCCTGCCATCCAATCCAAAGCCAAGACACCGTCGGAAGCAAGCAAAAGCTTCCTTGCAGCAGCACTAGCGAGTCGCGAGAGTCCCTCCGATTTTTACGATAAAAAGGCCGAAGGAGTTCCGGACGGCTGCACCCGAGCAAGAAAGAAACCCCACTCCCAACTCCCTCTCCCTCCACCCACATGGCGCTCCAGGCGCAGGCCACCCCGTCGCCGTCGTCGCCCCCCTCGCCGACGCGCGGGAGGACGGGCAGCGCCGAGTGGCCGGACGACGCGGAGAAGCTCCCCACCGGAGCCGCCGCCGCCGCCGCTTCCCCGGCTCGGTCCTCGGACGCCGTCGAGCTCGTCGTCGTCGCCTCCACGCACCACGCCGCCGCCGCCAAGTACGTGCCGCCGCGCGCCACGTCGCACACCGCCGATTCGAACACCGGCGGCGGCGGCGGCGGCGGCTCCGCGGGGTGGTACTCGTGGAGCGGCAGCCGCACCCCCGCCCCGCCACGTCGCGCTCGCCCCGATCCGCCTCCGCCGCCGGCCCCGCCGCGGCGCCAGCAGCCCGTGGAGGCCCCGCCGCCGCTGCCGCCCGCGCCCGCTCCCACCCCGGCTCTGCCTCCGGCTCCGCCTCCGGCTCCGCCTCCGGCTCCGGTTCCCCCTTCCGCTCCCGCCCCGGCTCCTGCTCCGGCTCCAAGGGCCTCGTCGCCTCATGTGCAGTTCAGGGCGGCCGACCAGGTCGTGCCCAACATCCTGTCGCGCAAGCGCTGGGCCGCCGCGATGCAGCGCACCGCGCTGCTGGCCAGGGGCGCCGCCGCGGGGCTCTGCCTCGCCGCGCTCGCCGTGCTCGCCGCCGACAACCGCAAGGGCTGGGCCCGCGACTCCTACAGCAACTACACCCAGTTCCGGTACGCACGCACGCGCGCGCGCACACACACCCAAAATAAATTCCCCTTGATTCCGTTCACTCGCATGTTAGTTAGGGTTCTATATGTATAGCTTGGGTTGGCGATTCCGTTCACGCGTCAGACATTCATTCTGCTGCGGCGGCGCAGGTACTCGTTGGCCGTGAACGTCATCGGCTTCCTGTACTCGGTGTTCCAGTTCGTCGCGCTCGTGGAGCTCATGAGGAGGAACAAGCATTTGATTCCCCATCCAAAGCGTGATCTCTTCGACTTCATCATGGATCAGGTTTGTTTGTGCCTGCCTCGTGTCGCCTTTACCGCTCGCTTTTCCTAGGCTTGTGTTAGGGCTGTGCAACTGCTTGTCCTGCCCTCCAGATTATTATTTTATGGAGGAAGAGGAATCAGTATGAAGTCATCTTGCCGAAGCAAAGTATAAGCTTTTTAACCTGGTGAAGATGTCTTACTTGTGACTAGTGATATACTCCGTAGTTACTTTATGCTCCATTTGGTGCCGCAGTCGCAGTCAGCATGGTTAGATCATTGCCGTCTCGGTATGCACCCCCAAATGTCTGCATTTTGATTGTCCTATCCCGTGCTAAACTTTGCATCATCCAAATTTGCGATGAATTGTTATGGCTGTTAATAGCTACTTATTTGAAGTTGAGTAGAGAATATTCAACATCAGCGTGGAAATAAAACCTAGCTGATTGATGAATTGTTATGGCTGTTAATAGCTATTTATTTGAAGTTGAGTAGAGAATACTCAACATCAGCGTGGAAATAAAACCTAGCTGATTGGTTGCTGCATACTAGTTTGCATCCCTGACTACTGTTACTTTATACATGAGTATCAGCAAGATCATTGCCATGTTCGACATATTTCATTTTCACGTTCACTGCATCCGTGTTCACATGTAAACCTGAGTGAATGAGCAATTGATGAGCTTGCTTAGTTAATATGTCCTCAAAGCAAACCGAAATTATTTCACAATGATTATGTGCTTAAGTGCATAGAATTGCAGGATCATTAGCTGGCCCCTTCCTGATTTCTTATCAGAACCCTCCCTGGTTTCTTATCTAACTGAAGAGTTACAAGACCATAATATTGGTGTGTAGCACCTTTATTGTGATGTCACTGTACTAGTGTCAATTTTAGTTCTTATTTTGTCAGTTACACAAACTTGAGACTGCCTCCTTGTCGCTTACATTTGAGGTGAGACATCTTGATTCTCCCTGTTCCTGAGCACGTGATAGCTAGTGCCAGAATTGACTTCAGTGACGGGTTAGATAGATAGTTTAGATGGCCAACTTCATCAACCATCCCACAATCACATTAGTTTCAAGGTTGACACTGGCAGTGTTATTAAGTTGTCCGATTAATCATGATTAGTCGTCCTAACCGCTACCGATTAGTTTTCTGGCCGTGTGATTAGTCGTCCGACTAGGGGGTGAACGACCAGAAACATAATGCAATTACTGGGCAGCTGACACATCGGGTGTATCTAGGATGGTTCGGGCCACTTGGGCTTAATTTTTTTTGGTCCAATTTGCAACCCTTCTCATCCTAGCTGCTGCCGGTCTGCGAAGATGAACTCCTCCTCTGATGGTACTTTCTCCATTCCTCCTACATTTTCTTGAGATCTTATTCCTGAATCTTGACTGCTGCAGTAGCAGTGTAGCAATTCCTCTTTGCTCTGCTTGTCTGCCATTTACATATGTGTATGTCTACTGCTACTGGTGGGTGCTCGCTTGTGGCTTGGCTGCTGCGCTTGTGTAGATTTGGTTCTGCACTTATGTACATAGTATATGATATATAGTAGTCCTGACATATAGGGGGTGGCTGTAAGACATAATCTGCTGCTGACCTCTCACTCTTTGTTTGCTGCACAACAGATTTGACAATAGGTCATTCTCTGCTATCCCAGTTGCTGTAGCAGAGGGCAATAGGCCATCACTGGTACATTAGTTGGTAGCTAATACATCAGCCATGTCTTGGTAGTGGGCTGGGGTAGGAATTGTACTGCTAGTACTAGGAGTAGTTGGGGTTGTACTCAGCCATGCTCATGTGTACCTTATATTTGGTACATGAGTTGTATATACTCTACCTCTATGCAATGAAAACAGGCAGTTCAGTTGCCACAAACCAAAAGAGCAGAGCTCTGGCCAACGCTGGTGCTTGTGCTGTGTGTGCGCGCGCCTGTGCTCACCCCTTCTTCTACCTCTAGCCATAGTGAGTGAGTGTGTGTGCTGGTAAGCTTACTGCTTACCTGTGCAGGGCAGTGAGGGACCAACAAGTGGCATCAAAGACGTACAGGTTCGCCTGCGATGGCACCTGGCTCGGAGACGGGCGACAGCAGCGGAGCTGCGGGAGGCAGCAGTGCTGTTGGGGCTGCCCAGCCACGACAGGAGGTTGTCGTGCGCACGGTGCGGGAGGTCAGCGACACTACTTGGCCACAGCTGACTCGCACCAACTATGGCGAGTGGGCAGTGACCATGAAGGTCAAGCTCAAAGCCCGATGGCTCTGGAACGCCATCGACAAGGGCACCGACGTAGAAGAAGATGACATGTCAGCGCTGGAGGCCATCCTCGCTGCTGTGCCTAAGGAGTACCGGGAGCTGTTGGGGGCGAAGAAGTCTGCTAAGGAGGCACGGGAGGCCATCGCAGCGATGCGCGTCGGCTCTGATCGCGCAATGAAGGCGACGGCCCAGCTGCTGAAGCAGGAGTACCCCAACCTCAAGTTCAAGGATGGTGAGGACTTCTCCCTCCGCCTGCAGTCGCTCATCAGCAAGCTGGGAAGCCACGGTGTCACCATCGACGAAGAAGAGGTGGTCTCCAAGTACCTGCACTCCATACCGGTGAAGTACATCCAGATCGCTCTCTCCATAGAGTTGATGCTGATCTGTCCACCCTCACCACAGCAACGACGGACAACAGCAAGCTACTGTTGACAGAGGAGTGGGCTGCCCGGATGAAGGAGAAGAAGTCCGGGGAAGCCTCCTCTAGCCGCGGTGGCGATGGCAAGTGCCGCAGCAAGACTTCTTCGTAGAAGAAGAAGAAGAAGAAGGTCGACCCCAACGCCTGCCGGCGCTGTGGGAAGACAGGCCATTGGGCAAAGGAGTGTTCAAATCGCAAGCAGGAGAAGAAGGCTGAGGCTCATTTGGCGCAAGCTGATGATGATGATGAGGCCACTCTCCTGATGGCGACGTTCTGTGCATTGCACGACGTTGAGGCCAAGGAGAAGGGAGAGGTGATGGCGGTGGAGCACGGGAAGGCTCTGAAGGCTGTCAACCTCGACGAACCGCGTGCCCAAGTCCACCTCGGACGTGTGGGCGGCGAGCAGGAGCAACGGTGGTACTGGACTCCGGCGCCAACAACCACATGATGGGCTCCAAGGCAGCCTTCTCCGAGCTCGACGACAACATGACTGGCACGGTGAAGTTCGGTGACGGCTTAAGGGTGGCGATCCGAGGGCGCGGCACCATCATCTTCATGTGCTAGAATGGCGAGCACCACGCGCTGACGGGTGTATATTACATCCCGCAGCTGCGTTTAAGCATCATCAGCATTGACCAGCTGGATGAGCGTGGCAGCGAGGTGCTGATCAAGGACGGCGTCCTCAGGATCAGGGACCGGGAGCCAAGGTGAAGAGGTCCTGGAACCGGCTGTATTTGCTTGACTTGAAGGTGGAGAAGCCCATCTGCTTGGCTGCGGAGCGCACGGAGGAGCCATGGCTGTGGCACGCCCGCTATTGGGGACATTTAACTTTTTGCCATCCTTACGGATGGCACTCTTTCGTTTGCCATTTTTACATGGGCATCTACATATTTGCCATCGTAAACAGTAACACTCATAATTTTTTGTCATTTTTGCTGATGTGGCATGCCACACAGTCAGCCAGCGTGGCAGCGCCTCTCCTCCCGCTGCTGCTTCTCTCTCCCTCCACTCGCTGACATGTGGGCCCCATAGTCAGGTTCATCTTCAACCTCTGACCACCGGAGAAGGGGCGAGCATGCGTGCGGGAGGGGGACCATGTTCCTATCCGGCGAGCGAGCGGCACCGTTAGGGACAACGAGTGCCCGCTTCGGATGCCCTGCGCCCACGACAACAGCCCGGTCGGCCGACGCTGACAGAGCGCGATGCATATGGTCGCTGGTACTCTGCCCGCCGCCGAAAGAGAAGCCGTCATCGGCTCGCCTGCTGCTCCTCGTCCCACGCTTCTTCCGCTCGTCGTCGTCGTCGATCGCCGCCGCCACTGACCTCAAGTGGGCTTCTACCGGCAGACCGCCTCAGCGGAGTCCATTGTTCGGAAACGTCACTGGGCGCGGGTGGCATAACCCGAGCTTTGGCGGGTGGACGTTGCCGACGCCGCCAAAGCGGCGCCGAGGCGGCTCGCCCGCAAGACCGTGTCGTCGCGTCGCGGACGTCGTGTGGCTGCCGCCGCCGACACCGTCTCCTTCGGTTCGCCGCTGGCCATTGTGCTGGCAAGTCCAGACGGGCGCCGCGACACCCGCTTCTCGGACGAGGCGCGCCACGGACCGCCCGCCCAGTTTGTGTTCGCACGTCGAGCGGCGCTTGCGGTGGTTTGTTATCGTCGTGGCGCAGGGCATTTGATTTGAGCTGGCGCCGCCGTCCCGAACGGCGCGCCGCTCGCTTTGACAGAACATGGTCCCCTCCCGCACGTATGCTCGCCTTTTCTCCGGTGGCCGGAGGTTGAAGATGAACTCGACCGGTGGGGCCCACATGTCGGCCGAGTGGAGGGAGAGAAGAAAAGAGGGAGGAGGAGGCCGCCGCTCACCGGCATGATCGCGTGGCATGCCACATCAGCAAAAAAGGCAAAAAATTAGAAGTGTTACTGTTTGCGATGGCAAATGTGTAGGTGCTCGTATAAAAATGGCAAACGAAGGAGTGCCATCCGTAAGGATGGCAAAAAGTTAAATATCCCCCGCTATGGCCATCTTAGCTGTGTGACAGTTACCTGACCTAGAAGCAAAGAAGGCCGCCGTTTCCGAAGACGGCGAAGTATCGCGCGGTAGAGGCCCTCGAGCTAGTCCATGGTGACCTCTGCGGGCCGATCACGTCGGCGACAGACGGCGGGCGCAAGTACTTCATCTTGCTGGTGGATGAGTGCAGCCGGTTCATGTGGCTGCAGCTTCTGACCAACAAGACCGAGGTAGCGGAAGCGGTCAAGAAGTTCAAGGCGCGCACGGAGGCAGAGAGCGGCAAGAAGCTGCGCGGGTTGCGGACTGATCGCGGCGGCGAATTCACCTCTGTAGAGTCTGCAGCGTACTGCGTGGATCAAGATGTGGTGCGCCACCACACCGCGCCGTACACGCCGCAGCAGAATGGCGTGGTGGAGAGGCGTAACCAGACAGTAGTTGGCATGGCGAGGTCAATGATGAAGGCTAAGAAGATGTCGGCGGAGTTCTGGGGAGAGGCGGTGACCACGACGGTGTTCATCCTTAACCGCGCGCCCACCAAGGCCCTGAAGGGCAAGACGTCGTTCGAGGCTTGACATGGACATAATGTGTCCTTCCTCAGGACATTTGGCTGCGTTGGCCATGTCAAGAACACAAAGCCCCACCTCGGCAAGCTGGAGGACAGAAGCACGTCCATGGTGCTGTTGGGCTATGATGAGGGCAGCAAGGCCTATCGGCTCTATGATCCCAAGGGAGGCAGGGTGGTGGTCTCTAGGGATGTAGTGTTCGACGAGATGGCTGCTTGGGATTGGGAGGATCAAGGCGCCGGGGAAGCTGCTGGTGTCGGCAGCACATTTGCTGTCAAGCACTTGGTGATCCAAGGAGGAGATGATGGCGCTGGAGAGCAGGCTGCTGCTGGAGAGCAGCCTCCACCAGCAGCGGCGCATTCACCTCCACCACACTCCCCTACGACGGCAGCACAGGGGACACCCCCACTGGAGTTCGCATCACCACCCACCGACATCGACGAGTTCGTGGATGCTTTCCATGACGGCGAGGAGGTTCGGTTCAGGCGGGTGGACAACCTTGTCGGTGAAGGGGGAGCTCCTGGGCTGGCTAGCCGGCTTCTGGATGACCCAGAACTACTCCTTGTCAGCGCAGAGGAGCCGCCGACGTTCACAGTGGCTAAACGCGATGCCAATTGGCGCCGGACGATGTTGGAGGAGATGAGGGCGATCGAGGACAATGGGACATGGGAGCTGGTGGATCCACTGGTGGGCTGTAGGCCGATCGGGTTGAAGTGGGTCTACAAGATGAAGCGGAACGAGCGCGGCGCCATTGTCAAGTACAAGGCTCGGCTCGTTGCCCGCGGCTTCATGCAACGTGAGGGCATCGACTTCGAGGAAGTATTTGCTCCGGTGGCGCGAATGGAGTCTGTTGGCTTGTTGTTGGCCATGGCAGCAGCGAAGGATTGGCGCGTGCACCACCTAGACGTCAAGTCTGCGTTCCTCAACGGCGAGCTCGCGGAGACGGTCTTCGTCAAGCAAGCTCCGGGTTTCACCGTCAAGGGCGCTGAGTACAAAGTGCTCAAGCTGCGCAAGGCGCTCTACGGGCTGCGGCAGGCCCCTCGGGCGTGGAACGCCAAGCTCGACGCCACCTTGGGAGCTTGGGTTCACTCGCTGCGCCACAGAGCACGCGCTGTACACGCGGCGACGGGGGAAGGAGGAGCTCGTCGTTGGTGTGTATGTGGACGACTTGATCGTCACTAGAGCGCAGGCGGAGGACATTGACGGCTTCAAGCACGAGATGACTGCTCGTTTCAAAATGAGCGATTTCGGCGCGCTCTCCTACTACCTCGGCATTGAGGCGAGGCAGGGGAAGGAGCACATCTCCCTGGGCCAGCGTGCCTATGCGGAGAAGCTACTGGAGCGCAGCGGCATGGCGGAGTGCAAGCCGTGCGCAACTCCAATGGAGGAGCGGCTGAAGCTGTCCAAGCACAGCATGGCGACGAAGGTGGATGCGACGCGCTACCGAGCATCGTCGGCGGGTTGCGCTACCTCTCGCATACTCGGCCGGACATCGCGTTCGCGGTCGGGTATGTTAGTCGGTTCATGGAGGAACCGCATGAGGATCACTGGACGGCGGTGAAAAGGTTGTTGCGCTAGGTCAAGGGGACGCTCGATCAAGCGATCATCTTCCCCAAGAGTGGCGACAAGGGTGGGCTGCGGCTCACGGTCTTCAGTGAGGCACCCCCCAAGGCAAAGGAAGGTGAGCCGGAGCTCACTGTTTTCAGCAACGCAGACATGGCGAGCGACATCGATGGGCGACGGAGTAACTTACTGCTTACCTGCGTAGGGCAGTGAGGGACCAACCGTGACTAGGTTTGACTAGTCGACCAACGACTAATCGTGACTAGTCGCCTGGTCAGTCCCTTGGCGAACAGAATCAACTAGATGACTTGATAACACTGGACACTGGGGAGTAAAATCACGATTGGTTAAATTTTACGAAAACTGTGCATTGGAATCGCTGCCGATGCTGATTTCTTCTTTTGTTATTTCAGGTGCTAGCATACCTTCTGATATCGTCATCTTCATCAGCAACTGCTCGAGTAAGTGATTTGATCGACAACTGGGGCAGCGATCCCTTCCCGAGCATGGCGAATGGCTCCATCGCCATATCTTTCCTGGCATTCGCGGTTTTTGCCATCTGCTCCCTCATCTCCGCATACAATCTGTTCCGCCGAGACGTGTAGCTGCTCTTTGTCAACTTCTTGTTGCCCTTCTATTACTGGACAAAGTTTTCGGTGCAGACTTCGCATTGTGTTGTACATGTATATATATGTGATGGGAACTCTAAACTTCTAGCAATAATATATCTACATATCAAAGGGCAGCTCACTCCTGTGCTGAACAAAATTCAAAAGTTCTTGTGACTCTGAATCAAAGCAATTTTACTGCAGCTCCAACAAGGTTCATAAATCATAATGCAGCTCCAACAACACCTTTACAAGTTGCAACAGCTGGAACTGGCAAGAATGGCAAAGATATGCAGGCTACTTCAGCCTAACTAACTGTTGAGTTTCTGTCACACTCCAGTTTCACTGGATTTTGTGTATGCTGTCGAATGAAAGAGGCTACTTCAGCCCAGTTATAAGCTAACGAATCCCAAGCCCCAGTTCGATGAACTTCATGCCATCTACTTGCACTGCAGTTGCCTCTGCAACGGCTTGGAGCTCCATGTGAGCTCCTGCACGGCGGCCGGGAAGATGACCGTGGGCTTCCTCCTGCTCTCCTCTAGGTAGGGGAAGTCCTCGGTGAAGTGCAGGCCGCGGCTCTCGCGCCTGGCCAGCGCGCTCTTGACGACGAGCTTGGCGCAGCAGAAGAGGTTGCGCATCTCGCAGGCCTCGATGCCCACCATGGTCGGCTTCCACCCCCGCCGGAACAAAAACTCCTCCCACTCCGACTCCAGGTCACCGATCTTCCACTCGGCCTGCTTCAGCCGCCCCGTCGACCGCACGATGCCGACGTACTCCCACATCACCGACTGCAGCTCCGTCCTGGACTGCCTCGTCCGCTCCACGATGTCCGCCAGCGCGCCATCACCCAGCGACGACCACGGCAGCGTCGGCCGCGCCCACCTCGCCGCCAGGGAAGCGTCGCCGTCGGCGTCCAACATGTGGTCGATGGACGGCTGCACCGCCCTCCTGGCAAACACCAGCGCCTCCAGCAGCGAGTTGCTCGCCAGCCGGTTCGCGCCGTGCAGCCCCGTGCACGCGACCTCGCCGGCGACGTACAGGCCCTTCACGTTGGTCTCCCCCTGGAGCCCGGCCCGGACGCCGCCGCACATGTAGTGCGCCGCCGGGACCACCGGGATGGGCTGCCGGGTGATGTCCAGGCCGTACCGCAGGCACTCGGCGGCGATGTTTGGGAAATGAGCAAGAACCTTCTCTCTTGGTTTGTGGCTGATGTCCAGGAGGACGTAGTTCTCGCGTCGTTTCTTCAGCTGGTCATCTATGCTCCTCGCAACCACGTCTCTTGGCGCCAACTCGGCGCGATCATCGTACATCGGCATGAATCTCTCCATGGACTGATTGTAAAGAATTCCTCCGTCTCCTCTGACCGCTTCCGTTATGAGGAATGCATTCTCTCTTCTTGTCTTTGGCTTGATTGGCAGGCCCTCATCTGAAAGTGCGGTTGGATGGAACTGCACAAACCTGACAATGCAAAGTAGACATTTTTAGTCATGGTATGGACACTAGTGATATAATAAGTAGAAGAAAAACTGAATTAGGAACAATTTAAGGGGTACAGATTCACAAGGTACCTACTGCTACAAACAAACAAAATCCTGTTGTATAAATTTTAACTAGAGAATAATAGGGATGGCTACAAATTTTAACATATTTTTTATTGAGAACAAAAGGGGTGAGGATATCTCAGGGCAACAGAAACTCACTCCATATTGGATATTACAGCCTGAGCACGATGAGACATCGCAATTCCATCCCCAGTAGCTACCTGAAACATCGAATTTCAAGGAATCAGTTCACCTACTAATAATTGTACTATTGGAAAAGCATGCTGGCTTAGCAGAATAGATAACAGAAAGATAATGACAGACGATGGCTTAGATAAAAGATATTAAAGAGTGCAGTATCCTGAAAAATACCAGTGGATTGGTGGTTGTGGGATATATATGGCCAACTCCTCCTGATGCAAGCAATGTCACTTTCGAGATGAAACGGACTACCTGGATGACATAAGAACAGTTTTTGACAAGAGTGGTGCTAAAAGTTTATTACTGAAATGACAAATGACACGAGGAAATGAGGCACACTTGTAATAATGTAAGAAAACTAAAAGATATACCTTCTGAGTTTCAATGTCTATCGAATCCACTCCATAGCAATAGATTTCACCATTTTTCTGCAACAGAACAGTTAATATTACTCGTCATGTGTGTAAAAACACTTTAAGTGGAAAATTTACAATTGGAGGAGCAAATTATGCATGTCATAGCACAGCACATACTTCCACCTATAGAACATAATTGTAATTGGCTTTGTTTCCATAAAAAGTAAATGTAAAAAGGTCATGAAAGTTTAATTCAGCAAAGACATTGAAAGTTGGGAAATTGAGCAAAAACAAGGACAATGTGTCAAATTTGAGTGTAAATCTGAGAACAGAAGTGGGGAAATCAAATGGAAGAGGCAAATTGCAAGCTAATCACCACTGAGTACGACATTTTAAGGTTGCGTTTAAGAGGTCAGTATCGACAAACATGTGGATCGAAAGGCGACGATAGCAGGCCATTAAGATCCGATCTCTTGGCCTTGTCGCTTCCTGCACTGTTTCCTGAAAAGTGAGCACTTCAACAACCATGTTCTGAAACCTTTTGTATACTCTAGACTGCTTTAAGCCTAGGACCATTAACTATAAGCAAGTTCCACTATTCTGGTTGTTTCTAAAAAGTTATGTTATTTTGTTCTTCTGTAAAGTCAGATGACAAAAGGAAATCATTAATCTGGCCAATCACCAGTTCGCAAAAAGTTTTCGTGTAGTCCAAGGCTAGTTGCCATGTACCAATCTATATGTTGATGAAGGAAATCAGGAAAACAACATGCACACATCTATATAGAAGGCAGCAACCAAAAGTAACAGAAGGAAAAAAAAACACATGCGAGAACACACCCAATGGAAGTATTATCCGCCAAATAAACTAGAGATCAATGACTGGCATAAGAAGAGTATATACCAACCTGGCATGTCAACAGATCAATGGCAAAGTGATGACCAAACAAAGATATGTTATCATCATTGTCAACTGCTTGAAGTAGTGCTCTTTCAATCTCTCTTCCAGTCATATCAGCAGAATGGACAATTCTGTTGTGAGAATGTCCACCTTCCCTTGCAAGATGCAGCCTACCGTCTTCACCATGGTCGAATGAGGCACCCATGGCAATTAGTTCCTTGACACGCTCTGGACCTTCTGTGCAAACTACCTGAAAAACAGCACAAAGGTTATTTATTAGCTAACAAATATGAATTAATAACTGTACAAATGCAGGGAAGAATTTGTTCACAAGCGATGATTTGCTGTAAAATGTGTCTATATAACATTGAGGCAATTGAAAAACTACTGTGAGGATGGCGGATTCTAACACTTACCCTGACGGTCTCTTCGTCACACAGATAAGCCCCTGCAACAATTGTGTCTTCCATGTGACTTTCTACAGAATCCGAGGGGCATAGAACAGCGCTAACACCACCTTGTGCATAGTTTGTGTTGCTCTCATAAGGCTCTGCCTTGGTGATAATAGCAACAGAGCCGTGCTTTGAAACTTCCAGGGCATACCTTAGGCCAGCGACACCGCTGCCAATAACCACAAAATCGAAGAATTTTGTGGTATCATCTTGCAGGCAGGAAAGAGTAGAAGCTCTGATGGCGCTGATTCTGTGTCTCACATAATGTAGGGAGACAGTAGCAGATTTTGCGCCCATGAAACGAGGCACGCTACCTAGTCTGTTTAAGCAGAATTAACACACTGTCATCAGACTAAACAATGCAACAGTGATACCACAGGAAGGAGCTGTCACATGAGAGCCGCAAATTGCAATAACTAACTCGATTAACTGAAAACGCTTTACATGTTTGGTCCTTATTTTAGCTAAATTCGGTCAGCTTGGAATTCCTATACGGCTTCTTTTCCAAAAGTAGTAAAGAATAAATGTGGAGAACAACTTTAAGCCATGAAAATCAATGCCCGGAAGTTGAACAACTTGATTAAGAATGATATATAGAACTTCAAAATGGAAAAAAAAAAAAACAAGTCAGGCTGTTAAACTACAATAAGCAGTTGGGATCCTTTTGGGGGAAAAACAAAACATTTGACACTGAAGAACAATTGACAGTAGCAACTTCACCTGGAGATATCAAGCTGGGAGCATCTTCTGAAAGAGAGAAAAGGCAGTCCCGAAGCTTGCATGTGGCCTTTGTCCACATGCATCGCCCCTGCGCAATGGAGGCTCACAAAGCCGTTCGTCAGGTTCGCCATCGCGGCCTCCTTTGGCCTGCAAAAACAACGAGACCAGAGCGCCGGGATTGATCAAGAACCTCGGATTTCACGGAGCGGAGGCAGCGAAAGCAAGAATAATCCCGAGGAACAAGGAGCAGCAGAAGCAAGAATTCCGAGGAAACAACGAGGCAACGGTTCTGGAATCGTTCCCGGGCGGCAAGAAGAGGAGATCTAATCATCCCCGGAGACGACAAAAATAGTAATATCGAGAGATCGGATCAGACAATTTTTAACTAAGAACAGAGAAGCCGCATGGAGGAGTGGAGAGGACTGAACTCTCACCTGTCTCTGTGCAAGAGACGCTAGCTCCAATGGCAAAGACACGGCGAGGAGAAGAAGGCCCGGGAATTCCAGAAGCAGCGCCGGAAGTCACGGCCTTTGGGGCTCCGAAAAGAGCGAGCGGGGCGATGGAGCGGCTCGGGCGGGCAGCGGTTTATTGCGGAGGGACGGCGGCGAGAGAAGACACGGGAGAAAAAGGGAGGGAGGGAGAGGAGGGTGGAGCCAGCCAAAGAAAGGCAGCGCAGCGAGCGTGGACGAGAGATGGTTGATGGCGCTTCTGCTTGGCTCAGAAAGGAAACAAAAAAAGACTAGGCGAGGAAAATTCCTGGCACCCCGAGGCGCGACGACCGATGACGCCGCCGCCACCACCTCGGCTCGCGTAGTCGTGTGGGCGTGGTGCCAATGCCATCCCCCCTTCTCTTTTCTCGCATGGACGGGACCGGGAGGTTCACCGGATCTTGGGCGTCGTCGCCGTGGGCCCCCGCTCGTGCTCGCTTTTCGCGTTCTGGGGACGGCGTACCTAGGCGGCGGGGCCCAGCGAATCACGGCGGCCGGTGTGGGTCAGCCGCCGTCGTGGGGGTTACATGTGGCGGCGGACTGCTACGCTGACTTTTGGTCCATATTTTTTCGAGGGTTCGAGGCCAAGACGGATTCGGAATTCCAAATTTCAACCACACATATCACTCTAGGCACCTCAGCCTTTTGCAAAAAAGAAAAAAAAAAAGAAACCCACTTGGTTGCTGAAACTTGCTCAGATACATCAAATCAAATAAGAGTACATGTTGATGTTTATAAGATATCTAGCTAAATAGGCTTGCCAGTCTATTTTCTTCTATATAATTTTGTTTGTCAACATCGATCGTATGCTAGAACTTATATATTGTTATTCAATATCTTTAGAATACTTACGCCGTGTTTGTTTGAGCTTTTGGTCACTTTTAGACTACTAGCTTTTGGTGTTTCCAAATTCTATAAAGTTATACCCTGTTCGCTCGATCATTTCTGTGGCTTATAAGCCGGCTGATGCTGTTTTGTTGTGAGAGAAAAACACTGTATCATGACTGATACGATCAAGTAAACAGGGTGTTAGTCAACGTTAAAAAGTTTGTCTCAATTTAAATTAAGAATTGTAACTTTTTGAATGAGGAAGTGCTTACTACGAAGTACCGTACTCTAGAAGAAAAGAGAAATTCATGACCTCAGCTCTGTTTTATTCATTAGCACTAAAATTAATAGTTAGAATTAGTATCAGTGGATTCAAATATAACTGCTAATTATTAGTTCGGCTAGTACATTTAGAGTTGCTATGTGTTAATAGTTTATATGTACTTTTAACCTGCTATCCAACCACACCTATTTAGCTGGTGGATCAAGTGGCCCATGTTAAAATCCAACTGGCTAGAAAACCAGCTATTAGCTAATTTCCTCGTTTAAACAGTAGACATGGTGTGTATCTAGGTATGTAATAATACAAATAATGTATCTAAAAATGGTATAATGACTTACAATTTAGAAATGAAGGGAGTATTAGCTCACTACTTTCTAATCTATCTAATGCTATAATGGACCCAAACAACCCCTTCATGAGCATGAATGAGTCCTTCGTCAGCGATGACCAACCCCTCGTCTGGCACTGGCACAGTGCCACATAGGAGCAGCGAGAAGGCGGCGTGGCATGGCACAAGAGGCCTGTTTGGATGCTGCCTCCCAGGCACCTCCGGCGTCAGACAGGGCCCCTAGACGTTCGATTTTCATCGCCTAGGACTGAGAGAATTTTTTTAATTTTAACCCTTCTTTTAATATAATTTTAAATCTAACACTGTCGGTTTTTTTAACTAACACTTTTGTCTGCGCCTATTGTCCTGGCGCGGCCAAATGCCTGTGCCGCGCCATGCATGGTGGCGCGGTAGAGGGCTGACGTGGCGAGGGCCGGCTTGGGGGACCGCTGACGTGGCAGCTCCTGCCGCGCCACCGACCTTGGCGCGGCAGTGCCGCGCCCTGATCCGTGGCGCGGCAGGACCATATATATACCGCCCGCGCAACCACACCACCTGGCCGCTGCACCTGCCACTCACACGGAGTACCTGGATGGTTGAATCGAAACGCGTCGCGCACGTATTTTGTTGAGTTTTTTTCACGGCTGAATAAAGAATTTGATAAGCCAATGATAAGTTTTTCGTCTTTCATAATACGGTTATGCACCATTTAAACTAATCGATTACGAAAAATTGTCACCGGGACTGTTGGTTCCCGAACTAGTTGGTACTTAATCTCGCCGGCAGTGCTGCCGTGACTCAAAGAAACAAATAAGAAGCAAGTTGAGAAGCTGCCACATAACATATTCATGGTTTTGACATAAGTTTGAGATAACATAACCAAATAACCACGCAAGTTTCGGATGGCAATATTCGTTTGACCTAACAAACTAAGATCCAGGAGTATAAGGATCCCTCGGACGCCTCTGTCTCTTCGGATTTGTTGGCAACACATTGGGAGTGTAGCCAACGTCGGTATGGTCGCGTCGACGGTGCGTATGGCTCGTACCCTGCAGGTATATAATACGCACGAATTCTTATGATCGTTAGTTTATGTAGCCTACGTATTGAAACAAACTATTTTTGTTAGTACCTATGAGGCTCCTTGGGTGCCAAGCGGGGCACCACCTACCTGAGACATGCCGATCTCGTCCTACGGCCATTCGTCCCACTGGTCGTGCTGTCCGCGGAAGCCCAGGGGTTCGTCATCGTCGTCATCGTCCTCCTCCTCGTCCTCGATTGCAGGGTCCTTTCCAGCACTATGATGTGGTGGTGTACGCATCGCGGAAGTGGCACCTGTCATTAAGGATGGCAACGGGTCGGGTTCGGATCGGGTGGAGTCTCCGTGCACCCAAAACCGAAACTCGAAATCGAAACCCGAATCCGCTCTGAAAACCGATTCGGGTGGAAATCCATCACCAAAACCAAACCCGCGGATACCCGAAACCCGAACGGATACCCGAAACCCGAATGGATACCTGAAACCCGCGTATATATATACACATATTCACATGTATAAACAAGAGGCAACAAATAATAAATATTTTTATGAGTCAACTTTAAATAAATTTAATAATCTAAGTAAACAAATTATTATTAGTATATTATAAAACATGAGTTTTAATTCCAAATGATTTATTTCGGATATCCATTGGATATCCACGGGGTGGAAAACCAAACCCGAAACCAAACCCGATTGGTTTTGGGGCCCCGAACCCGAAAACCGTGGGTGAAAAACTATCCCCAAACTCGAACCCGCAAAACCCGAAACCCACGGATATCCGCCCCAAACCCGATCCGTTGCCATCCTTACCTGTCATCGGCTGAGAAGAGCCGGCTGGTGTCCTCAAAGAGGCTGAAGACGTGCCACCCGTCCACGCCGGGAGTGGCGGTTCCTCATAAGGAGTGTCCATGCAGCTTAGTTTCTGAGCTAGCTTCCTGCAGCTCTTCTTCACCTTCTGCATAAATAGACGTTAAAGTTAGTTCATTACACAAACGCATATACACTAAAGAAATATTTTCAAAACGGACAAGTTTATGTTTACCTCCACAAAAGTCACAAGAATGCCTGGCCCCTGTCCTCTAGACTCGTAAAGCCGGAACGCTGCTTCGTTGGACAGCCTTGACAATTATGTCGTCTGGGTACAGAAACGCGGTTGGACAGTTTTAGTACACATACTTAAAACCAAAAGGATAACAATTTGTACCATTCAAATATCTTACCACGTATCTTTAAAGCAGGGCTCTCTGTAGCTGTGTGTCCTCCCTAGTGGTAACGTCGTACACATCTTCGATGACATCTTCCTCCGAGTCCTCGTCAATCACCACGTTAGTGTACGGGGGCTTCACATGTGTCCTCGTAGACCTATGAAGCCACCGAAGGTACTCGTTGAAGGTGTGCTGGTCGTGTGGAGGACCCGCAAGGACCGCATGTGGTACCCTGGTCTGCCAAAACTGGATATACGGGCTGTGTGTCACGCGCCAATCCTTGGTCTTGTATCTCGCTATGTTCTCCCACGGCTGGCGAAGTATGTCAAGGAGGATCCAGCTGATGGTGTTGCCCGAGGCGTTGTAACACCCCGGTGTTATGCCAGCATTTAGGCACTACAAATCATGCATATCGTGCATCATCAAGCATCCTAATCATACATGCCCAATCATGAAAATAATAACTGAAACACTGCTTCGAAACATATGAAACATGTTCGTGAAACGTCAATGTTGCATACACCTGTTTAAGAGTTATTTTGCCCTGATTATGTTTGCTAGGCTAGTAAAACATGTTTGGCTATCATGGTAAATCATCTAGAACTGTTTAACATAATTTTTGGAGCAAGGTTTGTATTTGAATTATTGCCAAATTTTGCTTTTAAAAATAATTCTCCAAAATTAGGGTTTTGAGTTAAGATTTACTTTAATTTTAGAATTCAAAATCTATCAAGAATTTGGCTTTGGTCATAAAAGCAAAGTTGTAGAGAATTACATTCTAATCAATTTTCATTTTTGGTACATTTTCAAAAGATGTCATTTTCTTGCTCAAAATGATATTTGAAAGCTGGCATTTAAAAATTTCTTGAAAATATAAATTGAAAAAGGCTTCCTTCATTTCAGACGCATCACCTCGCTTCAAAATTTATGGCCAAAGTCGGCCCGGCTGCAACAATG